GAAAATAAAAACGGTCAGATATGGGCGCTGCAACCGAATCGGAAACTGAAGGAATATAGTTCGGGTCCTGCTCCCGTGAAAAGGCGTCGGAACCCTTCTCAGAAACCTTGCCTGAAACGGCAGCGGGGTCCTGGCATTTCATCCGGTTGCAGGAATCAGCATGGAAGAAGCCGTAAACGGTAGCCGTAACAGGGCCCGGAACACTGCTTCCATGTTTTTGCCGGAATTTCACCGAAACCAACAGTTTCCCACCTTACCATTTGGATCTGGGCTTACATCCTGGTTCATACCCAAGTTCACACTCAGACTCACACCCACAACCTTATGTGCTTTGGCTTGTGTTGGTCTTCGTTTATTCATCGTTATTATTTTTGTTTTATTTAGAAAAGGAAACAAAACAACAATCACTTATTTCTCTGTGATTCTAGATTTTTGACATTCATAGCTTCTAAACTCTGAAAGAAGAAAAAACAAAATCATCAGTGTGATGTTTCCCTTCTAGATTTTATTTTATTTCACAATAATAACAATATCAGGCAGTGAGAACCTAGCGAAACATAACTTAAACTAGAATATATATATTCGAGAAGAAGAGAGAGAAAAACAAACAAACAAACAAACAAAAGAAAACAAATCACTATTGACTTCTGACATTATATAATAAAGATATCAGACACTAGTAATCAGATGGCCAAGGCAAAGCAATCTGGTGTTAGATCTCGTTTTACAGATCTTAGCGGTGAGCCTGTTGATCACATGTTGACGCCGATAAGAGGGTATCAAGATAGGCCGCTTGTTTCACTCTCGAAAGCTGTTGAACCCGTTGCTGGAGTTTTTGATGAAATTGAAGTCCACATTTTTATTGCATTAAATAATTGTCAAAATCCAGCTGAAGAATTAACTCAAGATGAATCGGCTTCCATACACCTATATACAATGCAATTTGATGGTGGCTGCAGTTTATATTCGCTGCTTAATGAATCACTACGTGCTGAAAATCGTGGAGAATTGCTGCCATGGTTTTCGTTTCTCAAATTATTTCTTACGGCATTACACAAATTACCATCACGAAGTGGAATAGTATGGCGTGGAATAAAAGGTGTGAATTTAAGTTCAAAATATAAAACTGGTACGAAATTCGCTTGGTGGGGAGTGAGTTCATGCACTACTCATGTTGAAGTGCTTGAAGCTGATGAATTTTTGGGCAAACACGGACAACGAACACTCTTTTCAATTGAATGCATCAATGGAAAATCAGTGGCAAAACATTCGTATTTCAAAAATACTGAAAAAGAAATAATTCTCATGCCTGGTTCTTATTTTGAAGTCATGAGCCAATTAAATCCTGCACCAGAACTCCATATTATTCAATTAAAAGAAATCGCGCCACCAATCGCATTTGTTAGACCACCATTTGTGAAATCAAACGAATCAAAGCCAATTCCAATCGCTCATCAGTCAACACTGTAAAAAAAAAGCGTAGACTAATAAACGCTTGCCCTATCTATAAATATTCATAAACCCCTAAAGGGTTTATGACGCTATCATAAACCCTTCTAGGGTTTATGAACCTGAGGGTTTATGAAACCAAGGGTATATGACAAAAAGAAGGGTATTTTGTTTCAAGAGTCAAGGATAAGGGTTTATTATTGTTCGCCAAAGGGTATCTTATTCTACGGTTTCAATAGAAGGGTTTATTAGTTTTCATGGAAGGGTATTTTATTCTAGGGTTTCGATATAAGGGTTTAT